TTATTTCAATTCAACATCAGTGGCCATTGGCCAACCCATCTTTTTTTCCATTTTTCCTTTTTTTGGGGGGGGTTGGGGGGAGTGGGGGGGGAGGGGGGAACGTTGGAGAGTTACTGTAGTCAACGCCTTCTGGAAAGTCATACAGCACAGTCGGCTATCAAGAGAGTTTGTGAAGGACCCCTCCCACACAACCCCGGGCAGTTGGTGATGCTCCCTAACCACTCGGTTTCCGTCTGCTGACTTCACCAAGTTGGATATCCAGCTCAGCAGACTAAGAACATCACCTCTCCTCTCAAGACAGATCTTGATTAATTTACTTTTTTATGTATTTTTTTTTCCTAGTTCTTGGTATGAAGGATTTCACGCTGTGTCAGTGTCCCGAGTCCTAAATGGTCCCAGTCCCACGAGTCTGCAGGCCTGGCGGTCGAAACAACAGTTTAGAGTCCATAGGCCGAGTAGGGTCCGGTAGGCAAATCGTCATAGGGTCGTTTGAAGTCGTAGGCCCGGTAGGTGACAAGAAATGTCCTCCAAAGTCTCAAGTCCATTTCCCGCCCCCTTTTTACGTCTTAAAAAAAAGGGAAGAAAAATAAAAAGGGCGACGGCATGTTTTTGGCTGAGCGGAGTGTGCATGGATTGTCGAGTCCGTGGTGTGGCATGTGTGTGTGTGTGGTGTGAGTTCAAGGACGCTACAGCCCTGGAGGTGGGCTGGATATCACGACCCGTATGGATCCAGACTCCAGAGATTTTATAACACTTCCAAGGGTTGTAGTGGTTACAATACTTCGCTCCTATGCAGGAGGGTGCCGGTTCGAGGCCGTCCATGTACGGAAGCGCATGATGCCCTGAAACACACGTTGTTCAGTGAATCATCATTGAGCTGGCCGGCCCCAGGCATTTCAGAAAGATTTGAATATTTTACTCTCTAGATTCCAACTTGGGTCTGTGTTTCAACAGTTTCGGCATGTACCGACTGAGCTAACCCCTGGGACAGTCCCAAGTCCAAGTTGGCAGCAGCATCCTGGGACGGTGCGGTATAGGTTCCGGAGATGGCAATGTGCAGCCGACAGGTTGTGGCGACCAGTACCGGTCGCGGCGGTCTGACGCCGACAAAGATATCATTTCAGCTCCTCCTATGCTACCGTGCTTCCATCGGGGACACTTGTCAGTTTGCATGCTGCGGAAGCTCTGCTGTAGCGCTTGTGTGACCAAGCAAGTTGGGCAGTCGGGTGTTAACGAAGAAGAAGGGCGATCGGGCGCCATAGCTAGGGTGGCCGAAGAGGAAGACGGCGTCCATAGCTATGTAGGGTAGAGGAGAGAGGGGAGGTGAGAGAAGTTTGCAAGTGCACTCAGAGAGCGAGTGTGAGCGGTCCTAGGA